ATAGCTGTCATAAGTCCCAGCATCAGACAGTGAATTTGGTACATTTTCGGAGTCGGCATTATCAGTGAGTGCTGCCATTTCCCATACCAAACTACGAACTCGTCAAAGAGACAAGTGAAGTCAATCCTTGCACCGAGGTTCTGCCGAAAACAATTACACTATCACTACTCTTTCTGTCCTGGCCTATCTATCTACTCTTTACTCTTTTATCCAACTCTCGAGTGAACGTCAACAAGTCATAAGTTGTGATGAGGCAAGAGTTGGATGAGAGGGTAAAGAGTAGATAGATAGGCCAGAACAGGAAGAGGAGTGATAGTGTAACGGTTTTCGGGAGAATGTTTGTCGAGGGATTGAATTCACTTGTCTCTTTGACGAGTTTGTAACTTGGTGCGGCGAATTGCAGCACTCGCTGAAGATGATGCCGACTCCGATGCTGACGAAACGTTTGAAAATGTACAAAGTTCACTGTCTTATGCTGGGAATCATGCAACTACTTCTATTAAGTCGCCCTGACAACAAGACCAAATTGCGACAACGAGGTCAACCCAATTCTATTGCCAAGTTGACTGCTTTGCTTTGCTCTGTTAAGCTTACTTCCATTTAGAGATAAAGCGTTTGGTGGATAGACTCGAAGGTTGATGGTACCAGAAGACGACGGCGGAATTCTCTTGACCAGCTGTCGATTGTTTTTTTGGAACATACTTGTTGGCGCAGTTTCCGAGGCAATCTCTGCCGATCTCGATAACAACTTGCTCACCTTCGTCCGTCGTATGGCGGACATCATCAGAGCAGAAAGGGTACCATTCTTACTTGTTAAGCTTACTTCTATTTGGAGTGAAAGTGTTGGATGAAGAGATTGAAACGTTGGTTCCACCAGAAAACGACGCCGAATTCCTCTTGACAAGCTGTCGATTGGCTTTACTGGAAGATTCATGCTGACGCTTTTTCCGGTGAGAACGTGCTAAGCTTTCGTCCGTAACATCGTGACAACAAAATTCGAGCTAACGAGTCAAGAAAACTCACCGGCAAATGCCTAAAAAGTGTAAAATATACTCTACATCTGGCCTCTTTGATTCAGTATAAAGTGATTTGGTTAGTTAAGGTCATATGTCAACTTCTCTGCACGTGAGTGTGTCTGTCTCTGTATTTGTATGTACATGTTTGTGTTCGCTTATGCACGAAACCCGAACATGCACATACAAATGCAGAGACAGCCACACTCACGTGCATAGAAGTTGACATTGACCTTAACTAACCAAATCACTTTATACTGAATCAAAGAGGCCAGATGTAGAGTATAGATACCACTTTTTAGGGATTTGTCGGTGAGTTTTCTTGACTCGTTAGCTCGAATTTTGTTGTCACGATGTTACCTTGCTCTGATTATATTCGTCCTATGACAGACGGAATCTAATCACGTTTCCACCGGAATCGAAGGGGATTGCCTCGGAAACAGCGTCAGAATGAATCTTCCAGTAAAGCCAATCGACAGCTGGTCAAGAGGAATCGGCCGTCGTCTTCTGGTG